ACCCAGAACTTTGGCTTCTCTCAGTGGGAAGGCTTGTGAAAGCGACTGTATGAACTTCACTGTTGTACATACTGAACTACTGTCTCAAGTAAGCAGAGAATTAAATCAAAGTCCTTCAGTTTGCTGGGTGCTTATGTTAATGTAGACTCTGAATGAGAACGCCCCAGTCAGTACATCTGGAACATACTTTTGATTTTGGCATCCCAACCACACCCAACCCAGAAATTTTGCCAAAAACAATTTGCAGTTTCTTGTTCTTCTCCTCCAACACCAGTTTAGATGCATGGCTCTCATTTGTGAATAGGATCTCTACATGTGAAAACAGGAATATGAATTAAAAAGAAAACACATTCTATTAAATCTTATTTTAATGGCATAATTAGTAATGGTGACAATTATTCAGGTTGCTTTGTATTCTTTTGATTTCTAATTAACAAACAGTAATGAAATGGCCATTCAAAAGGAGAAGATGGGCTTAATGAATGTAAACTGTAAAAATAGATTGGGCTAATATTAAGCGGAGCTCTCATCTTTTATAAAGAAGACAAATTGCCCAAGAGAGCTTACATTTCTGGTTTGAAGAAACAATTTCATCCCCTCATCTACTAGTAAAGTTCTCTTTTGGACAGTTGCCAAACCATGAGGAACTATTGAGGCAAAAGTAAAATGACCAGGAGTTCAGCTGAGAAGCAAGAACCTTCTGGGAGATAGTCATTAAAAGAAAAAAAAAAGAAAAGAAAAGAAAAAAAGAAAAAGAAATGTAAAAAACCCAGGCAACTGAAAACAAGTCTATGAAAGACTGCCAAGACAGGCAAACAAGTCAGATGAGCTAATTCGTCTCTCACCGAACCATTCAGCGGGAATATTTTGCAGTAAGAAATGTTGAATCAATTTTTAAAGTGGAAAATTTCAGTTTATCCCTGGAAGTTTTCTCAACTCAGAACTGAATCTCCATCTATTTTAATTATTAGGGATTTTCATTTGCAAGGCTCTCATCACCATGTAGAAAACAAGCACATGTTCTATCACTATTAAGAATGGGGGAAAAGTGAAATAAGTATGAAATGTTGGTCACAATCTGGGCAATTCTTACTGCACGTGATCTTAAGAGCATTGCAGACAGGAGCTCTGCAGACAAGGGACCGCTGCATACAGGGGAGCATTGCATATAGGGGAGCACTCCATATAGGGGAGCTCTTCAGACAAGGGAGCACTAAAGCCAGGGGAGCACTGCAGACAGGGGAGCATTGCAGATAGGGGAGCACTAAAGACAAGGGAGCACTGCAGACATTGGAGCTCTGCAGACAAGGGAGCACTAAAGCCAGAGGAGCACTGCAGATAAGGGTACACTGCAGACAGGGATCATTGCAGACAGGGGAGCATTGCAGACAAGGGAGCACTGCAGACAGGGGAGCACTAAAGACAAGGGAGCACTACAGACAGGGGAGCACTAAAGACAAGGGAGCATTGAAGACAGGGGAGCATTGCAGTCAAGGGAGCACTAAAGACAAGGGAGTACTGCAGACGGGAGCTCTGCAGACAAGGGAGTGCTAAAGCCAGGGGAGCACTGAAGATAAGGGAACACTGCGGACAGGGAGCATTGAAGACAGGGGAGCACTACAGACAGGGGAGCATTGCAGGCAAGGGAGCACTGCAGGCAAGGGAGCACTGCAGACGGGGAGTACTGCAGACAAGGGAGTACTGTAGACAGGGGAACACTGCAGACAGTGGGGCATTGCAGACAGGTGCTGATGGTACATAGGAGTTTCCTTGGCCAGGGGCTCTGTCCCAATACCTGTATTACCCCTGGGACTTGGCAGTTGCTATGGAAATATATTTGCTTACACAAAAACATCAAACTCTAAACAAATTAAAGACTTCTGGGGGCACCTGGGTGGCTCAGTTGGTTAAGCATCTGCCTTCAATTCAGGTCATGATCCCAGAGTCTTGGAATCGAGCTCCGCATCAGGCTCCCCACTCAGTGGAAACTCTGCTTCTCCCTGTCTCTCTCTGCTGTGTGCACTCTCTCTCTCTTTCTCAAATAAATAAAATCTTAAAAAAAAAAAAAAAAGACTTCTGTATTGTCATATGCAACAGAGCCCTTATCTTTTAGGCTGTTAGGCTATAGGGGCTCTTCTGGCCTTTTCATGTATGTTGATGTTGTAGAGTCTTACCCTTTGACCTGAGAAGACCCTTTCATTATCAGGTGCTTTTCCTGGAACTGTGTACCTTTGTTGGATAGTTGACAAATCTTGTGTTTGTAAGAAGCTTTGCTATTTTTCAAGTGCTTTGCTTTTAATAACTTCTGGCAATTTGGTTTTTTTATTTAACTATGGAGAATTGGGGTGGAGAGAGGGTGGAGAGGGTAGAGAATTTGCCCTAGAGGATGTGGGAGAGCTATAGCTGGAAGTAGAGGGTCTTGCCATAAATAATGTGATCCCCACATTGGTCTCATTCTGTATCAGGGCATGGGGTCGAGTACTAAAGTAAGAGGTAGACAATATACACAAAGAACACGATAAGCAAAAGGGATAGCAGTTATATAGATATTCCTTTATCGGGGTGCCCCAAGGTGCAAATATATATTAAAACACAACATTTAACGTGGTTTAAAAAAAGTAAAGAGGAAAATAGGGAATTTTGAAACATGATAGCTATCCACGAAAAACTTTCTTCTTATTCCCCAAGTTGCATCTGGGAGCTACTGACAAGAGAGATTTGCTGTGATAAAGTGCAAGGCTTAAAATGTTTTAAAGAAAACTTTACATGACTTTTGTATCATACTTACAGGTGAGAGGGGAAAAAAAGATACATTCAATCAGAAGAAATAATGTATGTAGCTTGCCAGACAGTCCATTAAGGAGTTCATCCAGCATGTCTTGAATTATGTTTTTTTTTTTTTCAAATTTCCTTCTTTATCTTAGCAGGAGTATGCTTTATTTACCATCACATCCCCAGCACCAAGCACAGTGCCTGACATAGTAACACTTATTTCGATGAATGAACATAAAGCTCAGGTTAAGTTTTGGTCCTGGTATTCCATTGAGTAACTTTGTAGATGAGACAAATAATTAACTTCTCTTGGTCTTAATTTTGTCCTCTGTAAAAGAGAGGGCTTTTAGTAAGATCGATTTCTTAAGATCCCTCTGGCTTTAAAATTCTGACTCTAAAATCCACAAATGGAAAATGTGTGTTTACGGTGCATATGGTGTTTGGTTTTGCTTTCAGAACTTCTGTGCATAATCTCAACAGATTATTTTCTTCCAGCACAGTGGAGAGTCAATAAGGACATATTACATGATGGGAAATGAGAAAAAGCAGCCGCTGAAGTCCACTGCAGGTAATTCCCCATGGGGATTAGATGTCACCGTGAGCCGCACAAGTCATCTCAACTAGATCTGGTGAAATTTTCTCCCCATGCTTCTAGAAGTTTTCTAGAAAAGCTTATAGAAACTGGTCTTCCCCCTTTCCAAATAAAGATAATGTAATAGATCTTCTATAGAATATTAGAACAGTCTTTTGGCAGAAGGCTTGAGGGAAACAGAGTTCACACATTCTGCTCCCTTATGGAACAAATATAATGTGCAGAGAAATTCCCTGTAGAATTCTCTACATAGCTGTGTTTAAAATAACATAGTTGTTATTTTAAAAGTGAAGGTTTCCAAATTCAGCACCCTGGGGGACTTCTTTTTGGCATTTTGCTAGTGAGTAGGATATGTGATGTCATTAAGTTAGCCTATACCAAAAATCATTTCATGAAAAGACTATTCTAGAATACAACCTTTTTTTTTTTTTTTTTTTCCCAGAGTAGGATAATGCTTCTCTTAAGTAATACTTCACAGAAGAACATTAACTTTCTGGAGCATGGGGAATCATTAAAAAATTATACGTAGTAAGTAGGTAGATTAGATTAGATGAATAGGATTTCATATTTCAGAAATACTGGATTAATAAAACTTAACCAGTTTTCTTGACTTTGGTCTTCTTGGAGCTTCCAACTTGTCATTATGCCATGTGGATCTCTAAGTGACAGGGGTAGAGATGAACATACAGGTTTTTCCAAACACATTTGCTTACGAAACCCCCTTCCCCCTCTAGAGTATTCTGTGGAACTTTGGCCTCATGGAAGAACAATTTGAAGAATAATCTACACTTAATGACAGAAAAAAATCTTGTCAGAATTTTTAGTTTAGGTAAGGCCAAAGCAATTAGATAAAACTAGATATGACATTAAGAGAAAATAGCGTGATTCTTGGCTACTTAATGTATTTGGAATACATTTGTATTTTATAATTAGTTTCATTATTCACCATGGGGTATTTTTTTATGTCCAACAATGATATGTCATGATTTCCTGAAAGTTAATTTACCCTGGGTTTGAATAACCAAACTGATAAATTATGAGTTGTTATTGCCTAAATTGACAATAAAGCTTTTTTTGAGAAATATACTTTTAATTATATAATTGATAACACATACTCCATTATAAATACTGTTATAATTTATTTTTCCAAAATTTTCCAGGCATGAGGTACACATTGAGGAATACATAAATAGTGAATATTTTATAATATAAAGACTAGTGAATTTATAAAAATTGACACAATGGGCAGAATGGAAGAGCATGGTTATTATTTTTTTGAAACAGTGATGTTTCTAGAATTCTTAAATGATACATCAGCCTATGTTAACTGCAACTTCTCGTGTTTAATGATGTTTACAATTAAAAGAATGCAATAGCAATATAAGAGTAACGATCATAATTAACTCAGAATAGATTCTTTAAAGTGGTTCAAAGGGCTTTTCATAATAAATTACTAGCCTTTAATCAGCTAATTAAGGTAAGTACCTTTTAGAATGTGAGAAGTATGTTTTTGTGTCATAAAAAATTTAACCTAGATTAATAAGACAAGTTTGATTGATCCAGATTCACTATACCAAATCTGAAATATGTCTGACATTCCAGCAAAAGCTTTATTTAGAGGGAGCTGGGAAATCTTTGAGATAACAGGCTTTGGACCGTGCTATCTTGAGTGTTACATTGTGGAGTTGTTTTCCCACAATCTTTAAGTCTTTTTCAAACTATTTTGTGAATGAATTAAATTAGTGAAATATGAATAAATGGTCTCTTTTGGATTGCTTACCCAGATTAGAGAATGTTGACTTTAAAAGGTCACAAAATTGAATTTTGCCTGTTGGACCGGTATTTCCACTTGGGAGGCTAGTCCTGGCTGACCTCCACAGTTCCATCCATCCACTCACACACAGTCATGATAAGAGCGTGAAGTGTGAGCTAAATAGGGATGAGGCCTGGGCAAGGTCATTTCTGCCAGAACACCAGAGACTCCAAGAGCTCAAGGGTGCTATAGTACAGAGGAAGGGGGTGTCCTCGTGAATTAAAAAAAAGAAAAGAAAAAAGAAAGAGAGAAAAGAAGAAAAAAAACCCTCTATACACAGAGTAAAAATGAGGGTCCTTGTATTTGAGGATGTAAAAGATGAGGCAGAAGAGGGAAAAACAGAGGAAGAGGAAGATGAAGACGACACGGTAAGTGGGAACACACCAGCTAAAGAAGGCTACTTGTTCCTCTAAGCCGATCATTAGAAAAAATGTTTCTTTCCTTTGTTTTTCTGCACAGGTGTTCTTCAAGCCTGTTATTGAAGACCTAAGGATGGAATTGGCCAGAAAATGCACCAAGCTCATTAGTGATGTAAGTGACTTCAGTGATTTTTTTTTTAAATTTTTCGTTATGTGTGTGTGGCACTATTATGCCATCAGGTCATCGAGTTGGGGAGAAAACCCTACAATCATTGTTAAAACACAATAATTTTCCAGATCATGGAACTAAGTCCCGAATTTCCATTGATTTCCTCAAGGTGACCTATACAGAGAGTATCTGTAGGAACAGGTCCCTGTGTTCTCAATCCAGAGCGGTGTCCCTTATGAATTTCACTGTCACTCAGGCATGAAATCATAAAGCATTGAAATTTCAGAGCACGTTCCATATGTGAACTGCAAAGCCTTTTAGACTTTGTATGGGGGTGGAATTTGTGTCAGGAGGATCTCTGTCTAAACGAATGGTTTTTTAAAAAACAGTTCGGGGATTTTTTGAAGACTCTGATGAATGCAATAGTTCTTGAAACCAGGGGAAAAAATACATATTTACATAAAATGCATTTACAATTTGGGGTTCTTGAGTTACTTAACTGCATGGTGAGAACCCTGTGCACGGGGGAGAGATGACACGTGAAAAGTGAGTAGGGCCCTGAGTCTGTAGAGAAGCAAGCGTCATACTAGCCATTTCTGTTGTAGTTAATGAGCAAAGTGACCAGAATATTTTGCACATGTTTGTTTTGTTTTCTTTCTTTCATTTTTTTTTTAAGATTTTATTTATTTATTTGACAGAGAGCGATCACAAGTAGGCAAAGAGGCAGGCAGAAAGAGAGGAGGAAGCAGGCTCCCTGCTGAGCAGAGAGCCCTATGCAGGGCTCGATCCCAGGACCCTGGGATCATGACCTGAGCTGAAGGCAGAGGCTTTAATCCACTGAGCCACCCAGGCGCCCCAACACATGTTTGTTTTCAAAGGAGGTCAATCTGGGGAAGTGGGGTAGTACGTTGGCATGTTCTCTGAAGTCAACCTGCCTGCATCAATTTAACAGTAAGGTTGGGGCAGGTTATGTAACAGGACTGGGCTCACTTCCTCAAGGGAAACATCTATTCCAGTTTCTAGAAGTAATGGTAACACGTCTGGAATGTTTAGTGAACTGTCCGGAACACAGTGAGCACTCAAGGGATGTTGGCGGTTATTAACTGCTACATCTGTAAATTACTTTTGTATCCATCCAGTCACATTTTATATATGACTGTCTCCTTGTGGCTTGTCGGAAAGAGCCAGAGGATGGTGGGAATCATACTCTTTCCATATATTTGACATGTAATGTAATAGAATTTTAAATGGAGTATTTCTTTGTGCTGTTACCTGGGAGTACTAAGCTATAGCACGAGAAAGTTCTTTGTAAACTCTTTTTTTTTTTTAAGATTTTATTTATTTATTTGACAGAGAGAGACACAGCGAGAGAGGGAACACAAGCAGAGGGAGTAGGAGAGGGAGAAGCAGGCCTCCCGCCAAGCAGGGAGCCCGATGCGGGACGCAATCCCAGGACCCTGGGATCATGGTCTGACCTGAAGGCAGATGCTTAACGACTGAGCCACCCAGGCTCCCCCTTTGTAAACTCTTAATAGTGATGGAATGATGACCACCACAAGAATATCAGCCAAGTTAATATTTCTCGAGGACTCTGTGCCAGGCTTTGCAGCTTCTGAGGTGGACTCCACTGTTTCTCTCATTTTAGAGGTGAAGAAACAAAGACTCAGAGAGGTTAAGTATCTTGCTAGGGTCACACAGTTGAGCAGAGGGGAAAAAGGATTGAGCACAAAGCCCTCTCAGCCTCAGCCATTCTGCTGTGTTTGCTCTTAACTGTAGATTTCCCTGCACAATTTACCTTTACTGTTATTGATTACACTAATATTGGTAATGGGAATGCTACCATTTAAAACCTGAAGTTTCCTAACTCCAGAAACAGTACCTCTTCCATGTGGTTATGTTTGTTATTAAAGGGTAATTGCGGATGAGCTAAGTATATTATATAAACCACCGGAACTCAAGGGGTACCTTCAGTGAGTAGGTGATTTTGTTGGAGTTGTTTCGGATAAGATCATTTTTCAGTGACTGCAGAACCAGCCTCATGGCGAGGGGCGTGGCCTTTACCATTTCGCAAAAGCCAAGGCTATGTTATTCCTCTCTGAGGTAGGAGAAATCAAATATGTGGGAGTGATTTCTGTTTATTACAGATTTATGCTGCATGGCAGAATGTCTGTACGACTTGAATATTTAGATCACAGCCTGTGGCCTGATATGTATCTGTGTACATGTTCACCTTCTGTTTCAAAATAGAATTTCATACTTTTAAAAATAACGTTCTTTTTTTTTTTAATTTTTGGAATTTGTGTATTTACCTGCAAAGAGTCGGAGCAAGTACTACTTTTGTCTCTAAAACAAAACTAAAAAGAGTAGTTTGTGCCATCGTTTTACAAACAAATTTTAATTTACATGTTCTGGATGAACTTTACGTATTGGACCCAAAAGAATTTCTAGTTTTTCGAAGTTTGGTAGAAAAGGTATTTATTAAGTACTAACTGCTTTATCCACAGTCAGCGTCATCCGTGTCCTTATATGGAGCCGATGAACTTACGTGGGAGGTTCTCATGTCTGTTATGTTGCCTGCATCACTAGGTCATTGTCTAGATGTGTGTTTGAGTTGCGTCAGTCATGGAGCAAAAACAGACAGAAGTGGACGAATGGTTGGGGGAGTTAGATGGGAGCCCCCGTCGAGGCCCTCTCCTGCTTCTGATGGTGCCCTCGGTTAGTGTCCATATTTCATTAAGCACACGGGCTTTTCCCAGGGTCTCAAACTTAAAGACAGACCTTCAGGTCTTTTTGTTTGTTTTCTGATCCCTTGTATCCCAGAGGGACACCTGTGTGTTTACCGGAGCCTTTTTCTCTGTTTGGAGGCAATCTGTTTGTAGCCCGTGTCACCCGGTGAAGCTGGGGGCTTGTTTGTCCAGTCTGCACGGGTCTTCATGTCGAAGCAGTGAGAAGCGGCCTCACGTTCTCTTCACCGGATCGCACAGCTAGGGAGCCACACCCCTGGGATCTGAAACGAGGTCCTCAGGACCCCCAGACCGTGGCCATCATTGCGTCATCCCTCTCCTGCTGTGTGCCGGGCTCTCCTCATAGAGTACTGTGTTCTGTGGCATAAATGTTACAGAGGACTGGTCTAGAGATAAGGCTAGGAACTCACAGTTTTCCCTAGAAAGAGATGGGTGTTTTTCAGGTCAGGTGGCTTCACTTTGGGGGATCAGTGTGAGGCATTTTTCCGGGTGTTTTTTTGTTTTTTGTTTTTTTGGTTTTTTTTTGCTCTCCCTGGTTTCCCTTTGTATAACTCACTTCCCCAAATTACCCGGTCCTTTGAAGCCACCTCTTTTATTTTTCTGTTAACCACATAATGCTTTTTATTTTCCCAGATATTCTGTCTCTCTCTTTCTGGACCTATTGGCCAACTACCTAGTGAATTTCTTGAGTAAGTCAAACCTATTAACTATATAGAGCCATCGGAATCAGGAATCTAGTAGCCTTTTGTCAGGTGGCCATAGGACGTATTAGGTTAAGGGGGATATTTTGTATGTTTCTTGTAAATTAGGCATCCAGGGTTTCTGCGGAGCGAGTTTGGCCCCATCTGCCGGAAGCCTGTGATGCAGTATTTTGGTTCAAACCGTTGGAGGGTGTTCACTCGCGTGGCAGCAGAAAGACATTTTCCAGGCAAATGAACATTGTTTGTTGTGGGTAAATCCTCCCAGGGCTAAAGGCATCAGGATTCTGTGGCTATTCCTCCCAAGAGAGCTCTGATTGTGTTAAGAGAACCTGGGATGGCAGCCTTGGCTCTGAGTGTCCCCCGCCCTGTTGCCAGGTAGTGACGGGGCTGTGGTTCTTTCTTCCAGGGTTGATGCATTGAGCCAACATGGCTCCACTTGAGAGAAGACTTTCTTGATACTTTTGGTTAAGAGTGCCTGTAAAAGGAGGGGCGCCTGTGTGGCTCATTCGGTTAAATATCTGACTTTGGCTCAAGTCATGATCTCAGGGTCCTGGAATTAAGCCCCGTGTTGGGCTCCCTGCTCAGTTGGTCATCTGCTTGTCTCCCTTCCCTCTGCCCCTTCCCCTGATCAAGTCTTTCTCTCTCTTTCTTCCTCTCTCTCCCTCAAATAAATAAATAAAATCTTTTTTAAAAAAAGGAGTGCCTGTTAAAGGAAATACTCTCAGACATTTCTACATCTGTCATCCAAGTTCAGCCATTACCTGGGGTCATACCAAGTGAAAGAAAGACTGGGCTAAGAAGAGAAAGCCTCACTGAACTGATTAACTCTAATTGTAGTTGAGACATGGTGGGATTAATGGGTGTGGTCAGAGCAGAAGGTCAATATTTGGGGTATCTTACTGACTATTAAGTCATCAACTTTGCCCACCTCCCACCACCCCATTAGAAAGTAGCTTGGATAGTATCTGAGTTATGAGTGCAGATGCCACAAGTGACAGGAAGACCCTAGCACAGAGGCTTAACATATAGGTGGGATTTTTTGTTTTCACATAATAAAGTGTGGAGGTAAGGGGTCCAGTTTTGGTACGGTGGATGTTCTTGGGCTCTCAGGTTCCTTTCCTTCTGCTTTGTCATCCTGGGTATGGTGACTTACTGCCTTGTGGTGACCCCATGGCTGCTGCATCCCTGTGACTGGGGAATGGAGGAGGTGGAAGAGCAAGGTGTCAAAGGGCTGTGCCAGCAAGGTTTTTCCCTTTGCACCAGCAATACCAGGAACACCACTGGGAAGACTTCTACAAATGTCCTGTGGCCAGCGCTGGGCATCAGGGGAGACCAGTCACTCGCCAAGGGGAAGGACCAAACCATGCCTGACTTAGAGCAACTCATCCTCTAGGGCCGGGGCAGGGGTCTGGCTATGCTCATAAATACGTTTGAGTTCTGTTATTTGGAAAGAAGGAGGTCGCATAGGCAGTCTATGCAGTGGACAGGGCCATGGTTGTGTTAGGAAGTGGCCATCTCTTTAGTGATTTTATTACACCTAGGATGTTGTGTCCCTCATCGGTGTGGTTCCTGCCCGTCTGTTTTTTCTCTTATCCTGGTAGAGGAAAGCTAACACTATGTGGCATTCTTTATATAAAAATGTAAGATCATTTGCTTGTCATCAGTCATGTTGTAAAATTCATTAGAAGTACAATAGGAGGGGTGCCTTGGGGCCTCAGTCATTAGGCATCTGTCTCCAGCTCAGGTCAGGATCCCAGGGTCCTGAGATCGAGTCCTGCATCGGGCTCCCTGCTCCTCGGAAAGCCTGCTTCTCCCTCTGCCACTCCCCCTGCTTGTGTTCTCTCTCTTGCTGTCTCTCACTCTGTCAGATAAATAAATAAAATCTTAAAAAAAAAAAAGAAAGAAATACAACAGGAGTTACAATAAGCAAATAATACGTGTGTGTGTGTGTGTGTGTGTGTGTGTGTGTGTACCTTTTGGACAAAGACCAGAGAAAGGACTGGAGACCCCATTAAGACTGTACTATTTGCCGGCACAGTGAAGGAAGTAAATACTTCACCCTTATCCTGTGCTCTCATCCTGAACATTCTGCTCTGGGCAGAGCTTATCAGAGGCTGGTGGCCATTGCACATACCGCTGCAGTCAAGAATGTGACTGTGAGGGGGAGAAGATAGTGGCGAAAGATAAAAATAATGAGCCAAACTTAAGCCTAATGATAGGTTATTTTCTCTCACACTTAATTATATAACGGGGATACTTTTTTTTTCTCCTTATGATCAAAATAGCCTACTATTTATCATACTGCCATTAACGGTTTAATTACTAGTGACTGAGGAGGGTGATTTGCAGAGCCCTAAAATTATGGCTAATCTCTGAGAAGAAAAAAGTAATTTAGTGCTCAGATAAGATAAATATGTTCCAATGTTGATTTCATGAATAAAGCAAATGTTTAATGTGGTAGGTGTCTAATACCTAAGAGTCACAGCAGTGAGAAATGGTATTTTGCAGTAACTTTGCTTAGATGTTCCTGTCTGGTCATACCTCAGGTTGAATTATGCCCCTCAAGTCAGGTTTACCTGTGGTAAAATCTCTGTGTAACGTTAGTGTTGCAACGTCGTGTTAGTCATGTCCTTCAAGAACCAGGTACATAGTCAACTAAACTCCACTTTTAGGTTGTAATTAGGGAGACCATGTAATTTATCATCTGACCTGGAACCTACCTTTTTTCAGCGTAAGTATTTACAGTGTTGGGTAGATAAACATGACTTTATTACAGGGTGATATAACTTTTAGCTAATTACCTTCATCCTCTCAAATAGTCATAAATTTTGCCTCACCAGTTTTCAGATTGGGTTGCAATTAGCGTGAGAATGGGATGACATTTTCGGGCCTTGTCCATAGTTTCCTGATTTCAGCTCATGTGTTCCTACAGGGTCTCCCCCCAGAGTAACAATTCTGGCTTCTCCTCAAGGGGAAAGGAGTGACTCCTTTTACTACTGACTTTGAGAGAAGGCATGAGCATGCTCAGCTCAGCCTCTCTGGGCTTTCTCTTGTGCATCTGTTTACCCATAGCATTCTGGAATGATCTCCTCCACCATGTGGCAAACTTTCAGAGCAGGTTCTGCTCTTGTTGGGGGAGGGAAGGCAGATAAGGAGGCCTATGAATGCTCCTAAATTGGGTAAGTTTGATTTGAGCAGAGTTAGTTCATATAAGGGAAGCTCATTGTGGCCACTGTTCGAGCTCCTTCCTCTAATCATGCATGCATAGGTAATGATGCTAACAGTAATTTCACTTGTTTGATCTTTGCCTCTACTTCTTAATTGGTTCCATCTGTCCTGATGACTACTTATCTTAAACCTAGAAGTAGGCAGCTATGTTTTTGTTTGATTGTAGGCTTAACTGTTCAGTCAATGGCTTGAAAGTAACAATAAACTAGGACACTTGTCAAATGAAATGAGAGTGTTGAATAATTATGCTCAGCTAGCTGGGCAGACAGGATCCATAATCCATGTGTGCCCGCCCCTGTGATCCTTGATGATAATAGGACTCTTACTTATCTAAAGACCAGGCGCCCCCCCACCCCGCCCCCATGTCTCATCACCTTTGCAGCTCTGTGCTAGATGTCTCTTTACTTGATTTGGCTGGTTTTGAAGATCATTCCTCATTTGAGTATTTCCTTCAGAAAACAGACTTCCTCAAGTAATTCTTCTCTTCAAAAAGGGGGCATTAAAATGGTTTTTCTTCTTTCTCATCATCTGTAAATTATTCTCTTTTAGATTCATTATAAAGAAGAGTATAAAAAGTCTAAGGACAAGTGTACATTTGTGGCTGACACTCCCATGCTAAACCATGTAAAAAACATTGGTGCTTTTATTTCTGAGGTAAGGCATCAAAACATGCGAAATGGTTTGCATTTTCATTTTCTATTTATGTAGATAAAAGTCTGCGCATTAAAATTAGAGAATAATATTTTTGAGAGTGCTACTGAGTGTTGGTAATAACTACATAATTATGTAATCCTATGCACAATGTCAATTAACTCTCTGGTTGATCTATTTTATTATATATGTCTATATTTCGACTCTGATCCTTTCATATTTATATGGAATTACTCTTGAAAAGAGATATTTTCTTAGATAAGTAGAAAGTACTAGAAAAACAGTTTTAGAAATGCCATTATTTTATTTCCTTATGGGTATATTAGATAAAAATTGTTGAATATCATTTTGGAAATAAGTAAAATTTAGTAGCTGATTCTCTGAAACATGGTATCTTTGGTAAGTAATTTTAGATCAATTTAACCTGTTTTTGAGTAGGATCAGTTCAACAGAGACACTTACTATGAAACAGAGAAAAGCACTACGTTCATTTTCCAGCTGAAAAATCATAGTCTCTATCTGAGAGCATTTCAAACTGCAGATTATGCTACATTAATAAGCACCATGTTAACAGTGATTTGAATCTGGGAGGAGACATTTCTGTTGTCTGTGACTAGATCACTTAGGAGAGATAAATTTGAAAAGAGGATGAATAAAACTGTATTATAAATGACTGACCTCTAGTGTCTCATAAGTTATGTTGGAAACAGATCAACATGATACTCTCAGGATTACTTCCGCTGACGTGAAAACATTTTGAGGAAAACTGGCAAATTTTCTCTTCTTGAGTACCCACATCCAAAGAGTTGTGAGAACTCAAGGTTTACCCAGGGTTTACACTCAGTAAATCCAGGCTCACATCTGGCTCTGACTGGGGGTAATATCAGAATGTGGGAAACCATGGTTTGGTTGGTTTGCATTAGCTGTTACTTCTCCTGTGCAAAAATTCACTTGATGTTTGTCATTCCTAATTGACTCTTTTTCCTGAAGGTGTTAACTACAGAGCAAAAAAAAAAAAAAAAAGTAGGCAATCTCTTGTGATTTTTTGATCCTAATCTCTCCGAGAGAAATGGTAAAGGAGCATTTCTATTTATTAGTAGTGAATTTAGGGGATCACTTCGAGACAGTGCAAATTGGGGGTGGGAATACACAGAAACAACAAAAAAGGATTCTCACTTCCCACCACAGTTGTGGAAGAAGGAGGTTAAAAAGATTTGAAGGAGCGCTGTCCTTTACATTCAAGCTCTAGACACTACATTCTACCAACTTGTATTTTCTGGAACAACTCAAGTGTCTCTTCTTTCTTGGGTGTTTCTTTGCTGGTCAAACATCAACATACACAAACGGATTTACTTTTAGAAACATATATAGGTTAAATTAGAAAAGTCATCATTATTTTCTTGAATGGCTCCTTTTAAAGATTTTTCTGTGATAAATTAGATTTACCTCTCTTTAGAATATGTTCTTCAGTCTAGTATCTAAGGTTTAAATGGTCTTTTTAAAATAATTCTGTTTCTGAAGAAAGTTTCCTTTTATTTTCTTTCAATATTAACAGTAAAAAAAAGTAATGCTTATTAATTTTTTTCTTTTCCGCCCCCCCTCTAGGCAAAATACAAAGGCACCATTAAGGCAAACCTCTCCAATTCTCTTTATAAGCAGATGCCAGCCACAATCGATAGTGTCTTTGCAAGAGAAGTTACGCATCTTCAGAGTGAGGTGTGGTTTTCCTAAATTGTTATATAATCATATATATAAAAATTTAACCACTTACAATTAGCACCTTAAAATATATTAATATTTAAAAATATATTTAAACACAGTTAGCAAAGTAGTAGAAAGTACTGGAAAAATAGTTTTTATCTTGGGTATCGCATATTGGATGAAAACTGGAAGCAGGGGACTCGTGTTGTCGGTAGTCGTTGCCATGTCACAGAAATTGAAATGGATGGACAAATTCGTTAGTCACGTGATATTGTTTTTCCTAATCCCATTCACAACTATTAATAGAACAAATTTCAATCTTGTGAGGACAGCTTACTTAGGTTAAAATCTGATAGCAAATATTAAAGCTGTCTCTGATTTAGCAAATGACCTGTAAGTGGAGGACATTCCAGTAGCTTATTCAAAGTCCCATTAAGAGTTAATGGTTTGGGGCGTCTGGGTGGCTCAGTGGGTTAAGCCTCTACCTTCAGCTCAGGTCATGATCTCAGGGTCCTGGGATCGAGCCCCACATCAGGCTCTCTGCACAGCGGGGAGCCTGCTTCCCCCTCTCTCTCTGCCTGCTTCTCTGCCTACTTGTGATCTCTCTCTTTCTCTGTTGAATAAATCAATAAAATCTTAAAAAAAAAAAGAAAAATAAAGAAAAAGAGTTAATGGTTCAATTCAGGATCCACAGGTCTGTGCTTCCTCAGTTAGGCAAGAGGTTCCTGAATTTCTTTTTCTGTGGGTTGTGGATTTCATCTGGAGTATCTCAGGCGCAAGTGGTCGCTCTAGTGATTTCAAGTTGCAGATGAACTTAAGAATTGTCATCCTGTAAGCTCATTTGGAATTCAGAATAATTTCCCCCTTATGTACATTAACATAAGGAACACATAGTACATTTAATTTGTTGTATTTCTTCAAGCAGAATTTCAAAATAGAATATTTCACCTCTTTCTCGGTCATCTTAACTGTTTTGTGTTCTCCATAATACAGTTGTTTTGTTTTGCTTTAAACTCTGTGAATCTGCTACGTGGCTCCCCTAAGTGGTATGAGAACAGGGACTTCCTGTGTCTTGTTCTCTTCTCTACCCTTGAGCTTAGCATCGGTCCTTGGCACACAGGGAGATAGTCAATAAATACTGGTAAAATGGATTTTGTTGAATGTGTTGATTCTCTTTTTTAGGAAGTATTTCCTTTTATGTAGTTTATATTCTTCATGCTATATTTTAGGTTAAAAATAATAATGGACACATAGAAATGCTTACTATGTATCAGGTGCTGTTCTATATATTCCACATATATTTATATCATTTAATCCCTATAAGTACTCCATGAGATAGCCCCATTTCAGAGACGTGGAAACTGCAGCACAGAGGAGTTAAGTAACTTGCCTGAGATCACATAGCCAATAAATGGCAGAGCCAACGCGTGAACATGGATAGTTGGGCTTCAGAGTCTGGGATCTTAAACACACACTGTATCAGCTAGTTCTTACCATTTCCACCATTCCTTTTCTTATTAAACAAGTTGAAATCTTCCTTCAGAATCTTTTTAGTTTTAAGTAGAAGATGCCTAGGTAATTTTGAAATAGTCTGAAAATAAAGTACTCTCGAGAAAGACTGAGCGTTGTTATCCTTTGCAGAACATCTTTAAGTACTTTATTATTACCAATTTAAATGTCCTCTGTGTACACAGCTTGGCAGTAAGCTGATCTCAGCTGTACAACATGAGGCTAAAAATATATGATACCAGCGTTTTGCATGGCTGACCATGACTAATATGTCCCCCTTTTTTTCCCTCACAACATCTGGTCACCTAGCCACTTGCTGATAATATATGGACCACTTTGTAAAGCAAATAAGTACAACCCAACACTCGGTATGTGACAAACAACAATTATGTAAAAAAGAAAGAATTGTCTCTTATTTTTATACTTGGGAAGATAACCTTGTCAGATATTTACATCCTCATTGCTGTGTAAGTGCAAAATTTTCATCACCTTTTCATGGCAGAAAGGGAACATATAGTACACGAACATGTGCAGTGTAGGACGTAACGGGGAAGATAATCCATAGTGTGTATTGTGGAGTCTATCTTTTTTCTGTTAGCATGTGTTATGCTCTAGTGGGGTATGCCCCCTGCGAAATATGGGTATGTGCTCCCAACACTGCCCACCGTTGTAATTAGTCACTGAACTTGTTAGTAAGGAAACACCTGGATTCCGAATAAAGTATCTATTTCAATGGAATCGTGTAATAAAATTTCGATATAATGTAATAACATTTCTTGAGGTTTGTGTAAATCAATTTTATTGTGGCTAAAATTACAATTCTCAGAGCTTACCTGGTAATAAGACTAGCAAGAAAGTAAAACTATTTGATGGTGTCTGAGAAAATGAAACAGCTAACCTTTTGCTGTGTCCAAATCATATCTGATTTGTGGTAATCTAAATTAGAGTGGTTAGACACATTCTGGAACCTCAGGGTTCTGGATTCTAATGAAAAAATCTCCCAGACCAAGGACACTAGATCAAAAGGTTGTGTTAAAACCAATTTGCAAACATTCTCAGAAACTTAATCCAAACTAGAATGATACCGTGAGGTGAGCTAGATTAATGCTCCTTATAGAAAATGACTGAGGAGAAGTCATTTTAAAAAAGAAAGAGATGTGGAGATTTTAGGAAGCCATTTTATGAGATATCCCCCATGAAAAATCTTATAAACAAAGACCACAAAGAAAATTTCTGGATATGGATGTGCCATGCCATGAAATGGTGAGATCTCCCCAGGGCTATTTCAGGCAGGGGCTAAATTATCTCTTATCACAGAAGCAATACAAGGTATTACTCAGGCAGCTGGACTCAGGAGATGTTTGACTGTCTACGTTTTTATCCGTGGTGGCTCCGGGGTCTGGCCTCTGGAGCTCCAGACGTGTCTGTGCTCGGGGACTGGCAGTGCACTTACTGATACAGTAGTTGTAAAATATCCTGAAGTTAGAAAGGTATAGAGGTCTTATGTATATATATGCTATTAAATATACAAGATAAACGTACATACTACTATACTACCGAAACATATTTATATGTAAATCTGTAAGACTATTGTAAGTGTCCTCCACTAGTTAGGTATCCAGTAGCAAGGCGACCTTGATTCTCAAGGTATGAAGAAAACAGTGTTAATCTAGGGAACTGCTACACAATAATGACAAATCCTAAGAAATCGAATTTATCAGAAAATGTATTAGCTTGACATAATTTTCCATTAGCTATTTTAAGGATGAAAATTAATATGATAAATTAAAGTTCAGCTGCCTCCAATTTGATGTAATCTTAATTCTAAAGTGGTGCTGCGTTGCAGCTATAAATGAAATGACTTTTAATGTTGCGAGTAGAAAATTACATAGCCTTTTAAAGAAAGAGTGCTTTTTAAAATTGTGCTTGATGACTCACCATTTCTATGATAACCCACCAAATGATCGGCTGTGTTGGTTATGTTTATAAAGTCACAAGTCATACAGACTAAACCAGGCACCCAGCAAAAAGGAGCTAGATACACGCTATCTCCTTTATATTTAAGAAGAAGGAACACATCTGATAAAGGTTTCTTCTTGGCTTAATAGACCTGGTCACCCATTAAACTCCTCCTCCATTCTCCCAAAATTATAATATAGAATGTAATGGAACTGACATAATGTTTTTGCCAACTTAAATGGAGGTCCTTCATGAATTTCTTGTTTAACATAACTAATGGTGAAAATGTAAAGATATGTTCCTGAGAAATAGATATCTTGATGGATTAAATCAATGGACAGAGTCTAACAAGATGAGTGATCCCTGGAAAAACATGGGGGTCCTGCGTGTGAGTCCCTATATTCAACTAGATATGCAGGATTGGATGTGAGGACGGAGTGGGGCAGAACTGAATAAGGCTTAAGGAATCTAGGTGGCAGAAATCTCAACGTAGCTATCAGAAGGAAAACACTGTGATCTATGGATACATGAATAGTAGGTAGAGCACATAAGAGATCATAACCCAGACTAAACTGAAAAGTACTAATTAGGAGAGGTCAGACCATATCTAGAACATTCTGGGCATTTTGAGTGGATTAATTGGAAATTGGGCAGAGAAGGGCATTCAAAGGTACAGAGTTTCAGGACCTTACTCCATGCAGATGGTCTGGAGTGCAGATGGGAGTCGTTGACAGCTGTGTGCCCATATCTGAAGTTCTGTCCACTGAACTAGACTCTTCCTACCTGGCCGCAAGGGGAAGACAGATTGGGGCTTTGTTAGAGGAGGGGATTTGTGTCAAAGCTTCCACAGTTTAGAGACTGTGACACCCCAGCATGAGGTCCATTTCAGTAAATGTTTTCAAGAAGAACTTGGTGGGGGAGCCAGAGAAGAGATTTAAATATTGATAGTTGTAAGAGATGGCTTTCTTTCTTTATGGTAAGAGGTGATGATTTTATTTTTAAAAATTAGTTTTGTGAGAAGATATTTGCAAATGACAGTACAGACAAAAGGGTGATATCCAGGATCTATAAAGAACTCCTCAAACTCAACACACACAAAACAGACAATCATATCAAAAAATGGGCAGAAGATATGAACAGACACTTCTCCAATGAAGACATACAAATGGCTATCAGACACATGAAAAATGTTCATCATCACTAGCCATAGGGAGATTCAAATTAAAACCACATTGAGATACCACCTTGCACCAGTTAGAATGGCCAAAATTAGCAAGACAGGAAACAACATGTGTTGGAGAGGATGTGGAGAAAGGGGAACCCTCTTACACTGTTGGTGGGAATGCAAGTTGGTGCAGCTACTTTGGAAAACAGTGTGGAGATTCCTAAAAAAATTAAAAATAGAGCTTCCCTATGACCCTGCCATTGCACTACTGGGTATTTACCCCAAAGATACAGATGTAGTGAAAAGAAGGGCCATCTGTACCCCAATGTTTATAGCAGCAATGGCCACGGTCACCAAACTGTGGAAAGAAACAAGATGCCCTTCAACGGACGAATGGATAAGGAAGATGTGGTCCATATACACTATGGAGTATTATGCCTCCATCAGAAAGGATGAAAACCCAACTTTTGTAGCAACATGGATGGGACTGGAAGAGATGATGCTGAGTGAAATAAGTCAAGCAGAGAAAGTCAATTATCATATGGTTTCACTTATTTGTGGAGCATAACAAATAGCATGGAGGACAAGGGGAGATGGAGAGGAGAAGGGAGTTGAGGGAAATTGGAAGGGGAGGTGAACTGTGAGAGACTATGGACTCTGAAAAACAATCTGAGGGTTTTGAAGGGGTGGGGGGTGGGAGGTTGGGGGAACCAGGTGGTGGGTATTAGAGAAGACACGGATTGCATGGAGCACTGGGTGTGGTGCAAAAACAATGAATACTGTTACACTGAAACGAAATTTAAAAAAAATTAGTTTTGTTTATATGTTAATAAAAATTTTAAAAATAAATTAAAATAAAAAATAAAAATTAGTTTTGTAAATATCACCTTAATCTTCTAGACAAGTATATTACCGAAGTTAAATGAATGGTTAATACTGTTTATTAAAACCCATGAGGGGTTTAAGTTCATGAGGATATTTAATAAACTCATTTATTCATTCATTCACTAAACATTTATTACATTTCTACCCTCTGTCATTCAGTATGAGAGGCACAGGATATTAAAAGATGTGTAAGAAGATAGAGGCATAGCTCTCAAGGAGCTAAGTATTGGTGAAAAGTTTTTCCTTAAATTGAGCTGCTATTCCTTTCCATTAAAAATTAAATCTTATTTTGTTCTTATGACTGCTCTTCTGGTTTTTCTCTTAAAATGCCTCCATTCTCCTGTGTCAAGTTATTCTAGTTCTGTGTAATATCTTTTTATTATAAAACTTTTAATATATATTTACAATTAATTTTAAAATAAGTTATTCATTCATCTGTTCCTGTTTTATTTTTATTCATTCATTTATTGAGCAAATATTTCTTGATCCTTACTTTTTGCCAGTTTGTATTCTGAGCAGTCACCGAGCTAGGTAGTTATGTTCTCATGAGGAAGAGAAAATAAGTAATCCTACAAAAATAAAACAAAAGTAACTGAAAATTGGGAAGGAAATACATAAGATAATGGAATAGACTGTGAGTAAAGGAATAATTTCTTTGTTGTCTTCTGGATTTTTTCCCCCTAACTCTGTCATTGAATTTGGTTATTTCTACTTTTGAAGTAATCATTCTCACGCCTTCTCTCCATCCCAGGAGGGGACAAATTGGAATGGTAGCAATGGGTGATATTGGCGTGATGCTCATTTCCCTTGCAGAGGACAGGCCTTGACAGATCTCAGAAATCTGCCTGCATGTTTTATTTTCTCCCAAGGGTTGGGGCATTTAATGAGCTTTATGTTATATTATAGCTGTGCCTACAGAAAGTCATTAACAATCAAAAAATGAAAAATTCACCTTTAAATGTCTGGTCATTTCATCCACTTTGTCAGTTGCTTTCCCAAGATTTAAACCTTGGACATTTATGACCCTAAGAGTGCATAGATTTGAAAGGTTTCCCAAAATGGTCCCTGAGATTTAAGCTAGCTGAGTATGAGTGGGGTTGCACCATGCCTGTGGTTGAGGACTGTTGAAATTAGCAGGAAAGAGTCAGAATTAGGATTCTAACCTGAAGCACCAATGTTAAAGCCCTGAGTATATTCTCTTGTTACAGAGGCTTAGGCAAATACGACCATTGGTGGTGGGACTCAAGGACACAAACTCCTAGCAAAACACTGAAATTTAACAGGTAGGAACATAGCGTACTCCTGAAGAAACTAACAATGGTTTGTGTTTTTAAAGGTTGCCTATAAGCAGAAATACGATGCTGCTAGAGGATTCTCAGATTATGCCCATCTGAAGGAGCCACCTGACATCAGACATGCCATGGAGGTCAATAAACACCAGAGTAACGTAAGGACACCATCTCCCATGATTTTCTGGGAAATCGTGGTTACCCACATCAGGGCTAGTGGATATGTCATTGCAATTTACATATTACAACTCTCCTGTTCAAAAAGGACTTTAGAATATCTTGTCTTTAAATCTCTCAGTGTTCAGTCATAAATCCATCTGAGCTATTCTATCAAAAGGCATTAAAACCTCATGGAGTATCTTCAGAGTGTCAGGTCCTTGCAGTTATTAGAAGTTCTGCTTGGGAACAGTTGGGTTGCTGGCATTTCCTAGAGTACCCTTGACTTAATGGTAAATCCTTCGTAGTTTCTAGTCTAGAATTGTAGAACTGGGAGAGAGGGCACCAGAAATCACTGGCCTGGGAAAGAGTCACTCACAAAGGCTAGTGAGATTATACCCCAGTACTGCCTCTTTTGGGACGCAGATAGAGAGCCAGTGGTCAAGGTCAAGACCCACGGAGAACATGAAAGCAGTTGCTGCCTAATGACTGACTTAGCAGCAGAAACCAAGGAAGAGGAAACAAGCCCATAGAAAAGAAATTCTTTTCAAAGTTATGAGTTAGCAGATGCATCAAAACTTCCATGTGTTTGCTCAATGACCACCACTACCCTGGTGGCCCAGAAGAATAATTTCTTCCTGAAATTTCAGTGGCAGCTCATTTGTCTCCCCATTAGGAGTTCTCTGCTCTCTAAGAGGCATGTAGGAACTTTTCGTTAGGTTCTTTTAGGGCTATGATCAGTTCAGATAAAGGTGTCTGCCTTAGTTGGGTCAAGAATCTCCCTTTCTTTGGAAAGTACCTGATACAGCTTTGTCATCTCCCATGGACCCTGTCCCACCACTTAGCTTCCTTACTGAATGGTGTTTTGCTGATACTCTGTCCCCCGTGCCTCAGCTGGGCAGTATCTCTTTCCGGGATGGCAACAGTTATCTGGTATTAATTTCAATAGATCAATGCTTAAGTAAAAAACAGATTGAGGCTTTTACATTTTAACTCCAATGTGTAAACATATGCTAGGACCAAGACAATTTCCCAAGATGGTTTAACCCAGATGAGAGACGAGAAAGCTGCAAGTCTGTAATTACCAGCAAGGCCATTGGAAGGGGATGCTTCGTAAGAACGGTTCGCTTATAGAGTGTCAGTTGTAATCAGAATAACTACCACTTAGCTAGCACTGCTGAGCAGCAGGAGCTCTGCCAAGACTCCCATTGTTTCCAGCTCTCACCAAATCCCTGTACTGAGTCCCATTCTGTAGGCGAAGAAAATGAGACGAAAGAGTCGAACTCCCCAAGGCCACCCTTTCTGTTAGGCCCACTGCCTGCCTCTTAAAAGGCATTGGTTATTGGTCAAGATTGTGAATGAATGAATGAATTCAAATGTGGGACAAAATCATCAGGATTTAGATCACCAGATGCAAGGCGCTGTGGGGATGAAGGCGTCGGGGTGGTCTGGGAGCGGCTGGAGCGCCTTACACAGACCCTGGGGAGGCCTCTTCCAACTCTATAATTCAATGACATTCAAATACGGAAGTTCCTTATCATAGAACTGGGGTTATTATTTTAACTCTGCCTTTTCTTTTAAAAGGTCTTTGATTGTGGGATTGAGGGAATAGAGTATAAAGGCCTTTTCTCTTCCATTCAATACTGTGTACTTATGGGAGAAGGATGTATTTACTTACACTCCTCTGCCTACTGGCTCGACCTTCACATGCAAACTTTGTACATATAATAGGATTTAGAAAGTGTTTAAGACTATTTACTCAGATTTAAAGTGCAAATGATAATTGTATTCTACCTGTGAAGTAGTTGATATTCCTCTAGAGTCAAAGCACTTAGAATAATACATTTGTTGTCCCTACAATATGAAATTTAAACAGAGGTCTCGAGAGCCTCAGGAAAGCAAGCACCTTTCCTGGTTTGTAGGTGAGGCTAGTACATCTCCACGAAAGATGAAACTCTGTCTCCCACAAAACTCCACTCCAGTGAAACCCATTTGCAGAGAATCTACTAATAGAATTACCCTTTGGTAATGTGGGATGTCCCTTTACATGCTGCCTATAAATGACCTGATTTAATTTAAAAGAAAATGTGTTGTCACACATACATCTGATTTGCTTAGAAACAATGCATCTTTGCTTACCTTTTTATTTTATGTTTCCACCAAGGACAAGTCAGCTTTCTGATACCTGTTAGAGAACCAAGAAACTGGACCAATGGCAGTTTAAAACCTTTTACGTTCTGCCTTCTTTAAGCTCAAACTTTTATAAGAACACTATCAATGGGCCAAAGGGCACAGAACCGTTCTCTCCCTCAGCCTTTAGAGGCATGAATAGGCAGGAGAGGATGAGGAGAGGACTTCTGGGAGGGCCAACTGACTTCCCACCTCTGTGTAACTGAGAGTTTTAAGAGGAAGACCATCCTAGGGGCACAAGTCTCTTCTGTTCCCCTTCCCCACCAATTCAGTGAGCACAGAATGGGATTGGAGATCATTTACCCAATTACCCTCCACTGTAGCATATAGTAGAAAAGGAATTTGGAGTCAGACCACATGTTGCCTGGATGATCTTGGATAAGTTCCCTAATATCTCCAAATCTCAGTGTTCCCATCTGTAAAGTGGGGCAGTGATATTTACCTCACTGGGCTCTCTCGAGTATTAAATGAGATGGTATATAGAAAGGGCTTTAGAGAAGGGCAGGTCTGTAAAATATGAGTCCTCTTTGGTCCCCTTCCAATCTTAAAGGGTGATTTGAGAGGTTAGGATGATTTCACAGTCAATTTGAAATAACTAACAGACCTTAGATTGAATAAAGGGCCAACTCCATATGAAATTTATATTAAGAAGCACTTAGGTCAGAAGGGCATGTTCAAAATGATCCCGAACCCATATAACTACCTATTTTGTTGATATTATAATCAAGAAATTATTAAAAACAGCCAATCTAAATCCTTTTGTATCTTAAGGGATGTACCCCTGCCAAATTCTTCTGATGTAATTAGAGAAACTGGAGATAATCTATCCTGTTATTTTCCCCTAAAGATGGGCTCAAAATGAAAACCCCAGTAAAACATTATTAGTTCTCATCAATCTTATCAGAGACACGAAACCCAATAGTTCTGAAGGAAGTCAAACAAATTTTGAACTGCCATCTTAAGTTTTGTAAGTGATGTGGTCTGAGTAGACTTGTGATGAAATTGGAGTGGTAAACTCTTCCAAAAGACCATATTGGTAATCAATTCAGTGTGCATTAGAAGGAAGTATTCAGCAGGGGAAACAAGAGATTTAATGTTCTTTTCAAGAATGATATATATATTTTCTTAGTGGTAGAGATAAAATTTCTTTTCCATCAGAAAGTGAAAATGATGAATCAGTAAAGCAGTACTGGAGAGGCAGTCATGGTTCTGTGTGGTTCCCTGACGTTACTTATGATAACAGCACTTTGGGAGTTAGTATTAAAATAGATACATTAGTGCTTTGCTCGTCTCTGAGACAGAAGAGTTAGTAATTCTCATTCTGCCTTCTTTATGAGATTTTGGTGGTGGTAAAATTAACTCATGAATAAAAAAACTATGAACTCTAAAATGCTTTTTATAAACAATGACAACAATAATAATGAGAAAGATGCAGTTCTGTATTTTACTTCATCTTTAAGGAGATTGAAAACTTTTCTGCCTTCTGATGAATATCAGATCCTACATTTACCTGTATATAAAAGGCATATATTCTCACATAAAAATAATATTTACTATTTATTTATTTATTAAAGACTTTTATTTTATTCGTGAGGGGGAGAGAGAGATAAACAGAGGGAGAAGCAGGCTTCCCGCTGAGCAAGGACTTGATGCCAGGACCCTGGGATTGTGACCTGAGCAGAAGGCAGATGCTTAACCGTCTGAGCCACCCAGGCATCCCAATAGTTACAATTTAAAACTTTACTCATTTTTTACATACAGGATGCCCAGACAGAAATAAGCCTGAGATAGAATTTCCAGACCATGTGCCTTTGTGAGATACCTGGGGCCTCTCTAATGTGAGAGTTTAGGATACAAGTGTTTCTTGGGAATGACTGCACAAGTGCTTCAAGATTATAATGAAATCCAGGCCATGCTCCTCCCTTCTGTTCCACAAACTTAACATGTATATCCTTTCTAGTCTCTTCTCACCAAGAATCACATCAACCCTCGTCAGAGTAGCAAAGGGAATGATGATTCTGAGCCAGCTGGGGTTGATGTTTTTAAGTCTGCTCGCCAGCCCTAATTCCCCCAGGGTTGTATGTCTGTGACTGCCATCCTGGCTGTCCCCTCACCTCTCAACCTTGGTCCTTAACTAAGGACCTAAGTCTGAGTCTCTCATTGGCCGAGCCCAACTCAGAACAATACAGGGAAGGGGACTGCAGATAACTGGTTCCAGTCCTGGGAGGGAATGTTGAGGAAGCCCGGTTGGACACAGACAATGCAGCAAACAAGGTGGGGTGATGATTTAATGCCTTCATATGTGTGAACTGCTCAGAACAATGCCTGGCATGTTGGACCTTCTGCACAGGTGTAAAAAAAAACTGCAAAAGATGTTAAACACAACTAATGAATCATTGAACAGTATGTCAAAAACTAATGATATGCTCTATGTTGGCTAACTGAACATAATAAAAAAAAATCTGTAGATTATAGGAAACAAGCTGAGATTAAAAGACGATAAAATGACAGTACAAACTGAGGGACAAAGTGAACGTGGTGAGACAAGGAAGAAATTCAAAAACAGATTTGATAGAATTAATATCTTTATTGGAAGCAATGGAGAACAGATTTGACACGGCAGAAAAACCAGAGATGGAGACTGTGTTAATTGGGAGTTTCTAGGTTTAGCAACAGAACTCCATTTCAAGTTAGCTAAGGAAAACATGAGAATTTATTGGTTTACATAACCGGAAATTCAAGCTACCTTTCGAGGTAACTGGATCCAGAGGCTCACAGTGTCAGTGGGACTCTTTCTCTCTCCCCATTGCGTGGCTTTGCTTTCAGACAGACTGTCTAGGTGGTCTCAGGATGACGGCTGGTGTTTCCAAAATTAAATTATCCCTAGAGCCGCTGATTCCAGAGGGAAGGACAGCAGCTCGTTCTCCCCCAGCCTGAGATCCATCAGTGACTCTGGCCCTCCCTGGGTGATGTGTCTGCCCCCCTTACTGATCATGGGTTCTGAAAGAATGAGATGTCTGATTGGAGAGCTTGTCATGTGGCCACGCCTGTCACCAAGAAGGTAGGGTGCCCGGACAGCCCACCAAATCACCTGGAGTGAGGGAGAGCAGTTTCCAAATAAAAAACCCCAGGATACAAAAATTACACATGTCTATTACAAAGGCATACCTTAGGGAAATGACCCAGATAAATGGAAAAAGGACAGGAAAGAAATTTAGTGTGGGGGGCGGAAAAAGGAGGAAGAGATCAAGCATGTATGGTAATCATTTCAGGTGTTCCTGAGAAAGAAACTAAAATCAGTCTTTACAGATAAGATTGTATATTTTTATGTTATTAAAAAGAAAAAGTAGTTTATCTTGGATATAAGATCAAGGTATAAGGAAATGATCATCTTATGATAATTACTTTATGGCCTTTTGTGGGACCTCTAGAAGGGAAGGATGAAATTTCATTGAAGGTATAACACAAGGTTTAAAGAAGTGGGGAAATACACCTTCTTCTCTTGGGAACAGACTGAAATAGTTTTGAGAGATATTTCCCTAAGTCGTTTTGTAGGTTGAGTTGTAATGCTCACTAAATTTCTATTTGTTTCTGTTGTGGAACTGACTGGAGTTACTCTAATGTTCATTAATGAGAATAAATAGTTAAGAATTAAGAAAAATTTTGAAATAGAAGAGTAGTAGACAGAACTTGGTGTAAGGAATGTAAATTCTTATAGTCATACGTTCAAGAAATGCGTGAGTGAGGCAGTGAATGTCAAATCCTTAATATGCTACTTGGTCTATAGTAAATGGTTGAAATTATTATTGGTGTCATTATTTCTTCTCTTCCCCCTCCTCCTCTCTTCTCTCTTTTATGTCCTCCCTCCTCCCATCTCCCTTCTCCTGCTTTTTTCTTCCATCCTCTAAGGATGCAGTAGGGAACAGGACATTAAGTAAAGTAAGGCAAAATCCATCATTGACCCTCAAGCTTGCACCCATCTGGGGCTGATGAAAATCATCAGCCCCAGATGGGTGCAAGCTTGAGGGTCAATGATGAGTCTCTTTTTCTCTTCTTATTCAGCAGTATTGTACAGGACACCATCTTGTCAAGAGAAGATAGCCCGAAGGATGGACGCCAGTCCCTTGTGCCCATACAGTTAGCACTTAGGGGTTGAATTTATTCAGGAAATAGAAAAAAATATATATGTATTCTTTGACCTTCCCCTGCCACATCTCTCTACTGGCGCGTGCCTTTTTATTCTTCCTGGGTTCTGAGAGACTGCAGAACGAAGCAAAGACATATTGCAGACGTGAGAGAAATGTCAGGCAAGCTCCTCTCAGACCCAGGTTAGGAGGAGGAAGATGAGCAGTCCGCGGGGCAGCCATGTTGCCGCACCGCCCAGTTCAGACCTCCTTGCAGATAGGGAAGACCAGGAGCCCACGGCCCTGTGCCTCTCCATGGACAGCCCCGTTCCTGTGGGATGTCCCCGCACGGTGGTATTCTGGAAGATCTGGCTCGTGACGGGGCTCCCGGGCCGTTCTCCTGTGTGGCTCTGTGGTGTCCGCTTGTTTGAATTTGCAGCTCTTGTCGATCTTAATATTTGTTTTGAGTCACATATGCCGGCCTCTAATTTGCAATTTACATGGATGATGGGGCCCTATTCAGAGTACTGCTCCTGCCGCCTTTGTGCCCCTCACCTCTCTTCATGCAGTCATTAGGCTGAGCAGCATATAATTACATAACCCAGGCGAAGCTGAGATTTCTGGAAGGTTGCAGCTCTTTTCAAAAAGTAAGGGTTTCCATTTTTATCCTCATTCTTTTCTAAACAAAAAGATATTACCCCCCTGTGGTTTCCGTATGAATGCAGTAACTTAGGAACAGTTAGTCTTGTAGGTGAGTAGTAATTTGGGTTTGTTTTCACCTGAGAGTCCGGTTTTTGTTTACACAGCTTGTGTTTAACTGGGTGCAGGCGGGGTGGGGGGGTGGGGGGGTTGGTTGGCCCTCGGTGCATGAGCCTGTGGTTATTTGAAGCCAATGAAATTGGCTTAATTTTTACATCCTTAAAGATTTAAAAAATTCACCCAACGATTTAACTCCGTTTTCAGCCCATTTTCCTGTTTCTTTTGCTACCCGGGTGCACAAAACTTACCTGAATTATTTGTTAATGTGAAGCCTATGAAAACAGAAATGCTGAAGAAAACAGATGTTCTTGCTGAAATTATGTTAATTCTGTTGAAGTTGTGTTCACTTTTTAGACAGATTCATGATTATAAACATTGTTTAAAAAACAGTCATGGTGGTGAGACAAATGCAAGGCCTTACAAGAGTAAATAGAAATATATATAAATATTTCACTGAAATAAAATAATAGAATGCATAGGGAGCCTTTCATTTCTTATACCTGATATTTTTGAAAGGAGTAAGAAAGTACAATTTTTTTTAACTCTGCAAGACTGCAAGGAAAATATCCAGATACGTTGATATTATCTAGAACACTGGCTAATATTGATCAACAGGAGAATTCATTAAAATGCAGATTCTTCTACCCCATTTGCTGAAATTCTGCTATGTAAGGTTGGGGATGGACCTCAGGAATCTAATTTTTGAATAAGCACCTTAGATGATGCTATTGTAGAAAGTTTGCAGGCAATATTAGAAATACTTGTTTCATGCAAATATAATTAATAGTGCATTTTGTATAGATGTCCAGTTTTACGTTTCTATGTTCTAAGTTTCTATGTCTTGAAAAAATGAAGGGGGGGGTCCTAAAAATAACCATTGCTACTCCCTTTGCCTTAGAACTTTTTATTTTTTTAAAGATTTTATTTATTTATTTGGCAGAGATCACAAGTAGGCAGAGGCAGAGAGAGACGGAGAAGCAGGCTCCCTGCCAAGCAGTAAGCCCGATGCGGGACTCGATCCCAGGACCTGGGATCATGACCTGAGCTGAAGGCAGAGGCTTTAACCCACTAAGCCACCCAGGCACCCGCCTTAGAACTTTAATGAAACTAATGTAATGGACAAATCGACCACCCCCTGGTGATAATTATCTATTTTCTGGTGGAAAATAGATGAATACTCCTTCAGCTCATGACTGAGCTCAGGAAGCAGAGAAATGGACAGACTGGTGAGGTGTTGACTGTGGGACGTTATACCAGTTCTCATCTGGTTTCTCCTCCTGTTTGTCAGTTGAGTTAATCTAAATAACCACCATCGTTTTAAGTACGCTTGGTAAAATATACATGTATTTTTTCTCTTGAAATGTCTATTTTCCACACTTTGGTTTGATTGTATCTCGTGCATTCAGAGAATGAATGTTCCTTAATGTCATTGCTTTTATTTTCGGAGGCTCAAGTCATTGTGATGGTATTTGCTAGGTAATAAAAATATCAGTACTCATGACTAGACTTGCCAGACATGGGCATTTTGAGTCCAGTCAGAAAAAGAAAAAGAGAGCTGGAGAGAGCAGCTTCATGTGCCCTCACCCCAGGAAGTGATTTTCTACACTCATGTGCTGGGCTTATCCTACATCCAGTGGGGGTCGAGACTGTGTGATGGGCAAGTTACAGCCCTCGCTGGGGATAGTCTGTATGTGAATATGTTCATACACATTTACATGCAATGACATGCTTTTCAGGTGATAATTCCCGAAGAATTCCGTAAGGTTCTCTAAGACTGGTTTTGTGCTGAAGTCTCGGGCTCACAAATTTTGGCTTGTATGACTCCAGTTCATATGTAATAATGCTAGTGAGACTTAGGTATGGTAGGAAAAAAAAATGTATCTATTCAAATAAATGTGCATACAAAAAATTAAAAAAACAATTTATGGTCGCTGTGTTCTCTAAGATGATGATGGCAAGAATAATTGATGTGATGGACATTAAGATTGGTAGCCCTATAACATGACTAATTTCTTCTTCTTTTTTTTTTTCTTTCAATCAAATTTGTCTCTTTGATCAGATTTCTTATAGAAAAGATGTGCAGGACGCCCACACGTATAGTGCAGATCTCAACAGACCAGACATCAAGATGGCAACACAGCTCTCCAAGCTCATAAGCAATGTAATCTCTCTTTCTTATCTTAAGCAGAAATGATTTCTTATTTTTTCAGAGGCGACACGTGACTTTGGGGGTTGACTGGTTAATTTAATTAGTGAAATTAATCAATCTGAATTAATGATACCTCAAGTTTTTTATCTGAATTATCCCTTTGACTGTGTAAGTTATTCAGGTATATGCAGAAACTGCTCAAATTTGCCTTGACTTTGGCTAATGCGGTCATACTTTTAGAGAAGTAAGTGCTCTTTGGGTGTAAAGTAACATTCAGATGCCTCAGTCTGAAAGTCAATTTTGTTAGTCATCTGGTCTCTCACCTTACCCTGTCCCAGCGAACTTCACTTGGCCGTGTTCCCATTGTGTTACTGTTAATTGTGCAGATTCTTTTTTGTCACCATTTACTCTTGTACATTTTCTATACATTTTGGCTGTTTTCTTGTTATATCTTCTCCAAGATATCCTTATTGGTTAATACCATTTTAATTAAACATATGTTGCACCCTGGTTAAAAATGATGACTTCACACAAACCAAATGTTTGAATAACAGAGACTATACTCACTTCAAAATTAATAGCTATTTACAAGATTTAACTTGATGCTAACCAAACGGGGTTAGATCAGTTCCTAAAGTGAAAGGAGCCGTACAGGCTATCTGTCTGCAGAAGGTAGGGTCTCAATTATCCAGAAATTTCTCCTAATTTTTTTTTTCAGTGTTTATGCATCAGCACAATGATGAGGACAGGATACGTAGACTCAAATTTAGTAATTATTTTACTATAAAAAAGGTTGAATTTGTTAACTACTCAAAGTCAACTTCTGTTCTACCAGTCTGCATTTTAGCGTTTGGTGAGTTGTAAGGAATGCTTTTTTATGGACTGAGGGTCTATTATAATTTTTTCAGCTAATATTAATATAATTCTTCATTGGGAAGTAGAAATATTTAACATTCTCTTATTTATTCATTTTAGGCAGAGTACAAGAAAGGGCAAGGAGTAATGAATAAAGAGCCTGCTGTACTTGGAAGACCAGATTTCGAACACGCTGTGGAAGCTTCTAAACTTTCTAGTCAAGTAAGAGTCTAGTGGCGATTCCACAATGATTTTATTCAGAGATTTTGTTTCTAGTGGCACAGGAAACTATTTCATTTTAGATAATATCTTTAATTGCAAGAATATGCAAAGATTATGTTTCTGAAACCATTTCAGATAGGATTGCAATAATTACAAATTTCAGTAAGAGATAAAAGTCCAGTTTTAAGCATAAAACAAAGTTTTCTCATGGCTCAAAGTCTAATCTTTTTCATTGAGGTTAGCCGTGTTGTCACATTTCCTAGGATTTCTGAAATTCGGCAATCATGCTATCAATTAGATTAGATTAGATCAATAATTAGATTGCTGTCTATCTATACACATATACATACAGGTTTTAACTAGGTAGTAAAATATCGATTTTCATATGCTCTAGTTTAGTCACAAAATAAGAAAGAGGTGACGCAAATGAAGAAAATGAAGTCTTATGGAAGAACATCAAACAAGATCTGAAAAAGTATAGACATGTGTTTTTAGCGGAATGTCTCGGTAGATAAAAATGGCGATTCTCCCCAAATTAATATACAAATGTCATGCAATTTCAATTACAAGCCAATAGATTTTTTAAAGTATATGGATAAATGATCTTAGAGTTTGAATGGAAAGGAAATGCCTGAGAAGAGCCTTTAGAAGTATGAAAATGAAGACCAGTGAAGGAAAACTTAAGTTATGGGTTACCATAACATAATATAAAGCCACTGAAATTAAATCAATATGGGATTAGTACAGAAAGAGATAAAATGATCAGTAGGATAGAATAGGGAATTCTGAAATAGAGTTCAATATGTATAAGAATTTAATATATGATGAAAGTGTTCGTTCAAGTCAGTGGGAAAAAAGTTATATTAGTTCATAAATGGTGCTGACATAACTGTCCATCCATCAGGGTAAAAATAAAATTGGACCTGAATCTTAACCTATATACAAAATGAATTCCAGATGGATTAGAGATGGGAATAGAAACAATAAAATAATTTTAAAATCTTAAAAGAAAACCCAGGAGAATGTATATATACCACATAGGGGTGACAGATTTGGTCTTAAAAAGACTGGAGATCTAGAAGCCCTAAAAGGATAGTTACACATACCTGACCATAGAATTTAAACTCTTTCAATGGAAAATGATAATATTTGCCAAGTTAATAAAATAGAATCAAAAGCAACTTTTATATAGTTATGGTGTTTTCAACTTTGAAAATACATATTCCTCAAGTTGCAAAAGTTGGATGACATTTCAAAATGGAGAGGTGTAAACGAAGAAAACTATAAAATCGGACTGAAGAACGTGAAATGATATCTGAACCAATGAGAAAACCAACTGTGCTGTAGCTTGGGAGTATCATAGAAATGTTAATTCTTCCAAAATTAATTTTAAAATTTCATGCAAGGGCCCCCTGGCTGGCTCAGTCAGTAGACCATGCAATTCTTGATCTAAGGGTCATGAGTTTGAGACCGACATTGGGGGTAGAGTTTACTTAAAAAAAAAAAAAAAATTTTAAAAGTTTTTTCTAAAAAAAAACCATGCAATTCCAGCTAGAATCCAAAGAGACTTTTTAAACAAAATTAAAAAAAAAATTTGAATCAAATTAAATATTTGAATAAATTAAGTATATTGGATTGTCTATAGAGAAGGAAGGGTCTGAGAAAAGCTTTTTAAAATGTAGAAAGAAGAGTCGCTGTCTTCAAATATTTGGAAAAGCACTTGTAATGCAAATGATAAGAACATTTTCATATCTAGAATATACAAAAGTTCTTTAATAGTGAAAAGAAAAAGACTAAAAAGCCCAAAGAAAAATAAGTAGAGGAGATGAATGAGCAGTTATAAAGGGCAACATAATAACAAAATAGTCAATAAACATTTTAAAGGATACTCAAATTTATTAGCAGAAAGAGAAATGCCAGTAAATCATTTATTACCTGTCACATCCGGTGAGTGTGGAGAAAAGGACATCAGTGAGGGTTATGTAGTTGGAAGGGTTTGCTGTAACAGGTAGATTTGAACTAAGATGGACTGGAAGGTCTGCTCAGGGGAAGGCCCCAAATAAAGGTTGGGAATGTACAGGACAGAGAAGAGGGGTCTGAGAGACAGCAGAGGCTTCTCAGCAGGGACTTCTCAGCAGGGACAGGAGAGTCGTAAATATACAAGGAAATCCAGGAGGAATTGAGACGCTGTGATGACGGTAAGTGGGTCAGTGTTGTATTCATTTGGACTGTGGGCCATATTTATGGAGCAGAATAGGAATAATGTGTTCTCTACAAGAAAAGGTAAAGAAGAAAAAGGGGTTTCAGTTGTAGTAATTGGGAGTATTGTAGAGTTAAATTCAGAAAAGGAGTCACCACTGCAACTTCTCACCATTTTAACTATAATCTCTCAAGTACCTTCCACTTTCAGGTAGGAAATGGATTGTCACAGAAAATGTTGAGCAGAGAAGCATTGTAAAGAAGATACTACTTAAGGGAGGTTAGCATGGCAGCACCGTGCAGGTGACAAAGCCTCACGAGAGGCAGTGTCCCGGAGGCCAGCTGGGAGGCTACCATCTTGGTCCACAGCTGGGGTGCTAAGAAGCTGGGACAACTTGCTGGTTGTGGGGTGAAGATGAACAAGGAGGGTGAATGAGAGACTCCTGAATGCCAGTGTGCCTCATACCCATTGTTTTATTATGTATAAGGCCCTTTTACTTACAAAACAACTATATGATTCAGGAGCCTGTGGATGTGCTGAGAGCCTGGGGACATGTGCTGGTCTGGGACCCAAGGAGGGCAGGGGCTCCTGGGGGCTCTGCTCATGCCCAAAAACACTTGTTGAAGAAGCAGGGCAGAGCAGCGTACATTTGGTAACTCTTCTCCAGCATCTTCTGGGGACAAAGACTTCCTCTCAATTGTATAAGTGAAGCAGCAGATTCTGGAAAAACACTACAGTTTGGTTGAGGGGTTGGGAAAATGGGCTCCAGAGCAGGACTGCCTGAGCTAAACTCCTAGTTCTGCCTCTCGCTGGCTGAGGGAACTTGGACAATCTTTCCATCTGCAGCAGCCTCATCTGTAAAATGGGAACGACTACGATACCTCCTTCTTAGGCTTGTTGTCAGGGTTAAGATGCTGTCCGGCTCATAGAAACGTGCTGTCACTTCACAAGAATACTTTAACTGCCGATATTCAGAATAGCTTTCCACTCCTGCATTTTTGCAGGAATTTACGCCCAGATTGAAGCAGGAATAGTCACACTGGCCTTTAGATACCAGTCTGCAAGTCATTCCTTTATGATCTTATTTGAGAGTTCTTAGCAGAAAATTTTGGTATTTGAGCTTTTCTTTTGATATTTCAAATTCAGTTACCAGAAATCCTACCCTTTGCTCCTATCTCGGTTTTTAGGGAGGTCTAAAAAAAAAAGAAAATCCAAATCCTTTAGCAACTGAATGATCAGATACCTAAGCAGGTTGTAATTTGCAGGTTACATTGTATCTATCATCTTTATTTTTTCCACGACATTTTTGCATTTTGAATGTAAAAACTCATCAGAAGAAAGGAAAAGTGGGCAGATGAATATATAGGACTTCTGGAATGAACTTGATATGTTCCATTTGTATTTTCAGGTATATGAACTAGAGACAAGGGTGGAAATTATGGCTTATTATTTTCATTGGCAACTCTGAAGATCACATACATATTCTCTTGCTCCAAACCTAATGTCAGATTGGGAATACAGGAGCACCCAAAGGCAAAGAAATACCCAGAAGGGAAGTGACTTGGCAATGGCAATGAGCAGAGGACCTGGGGGCAGGGGCAGGAAGGAGAGAGTGGATGGTACCAGGAGCACTGTACGAGGGAGGGAGAAGTGAGGAGGCACTTGAGGTTTGTGGGGATAAGACTTGCCTGACGAAGAGCTGAGAACAAGAAACCAAGGGGCAGAATTTTCCCAATTTACCAGGAAATTATGCTCTGTGGGATTGAACCCAGAAAAGGTAGCAGAAACACAAAACACTTCCTGCTAACTTGTACAATAGATTTGTCCCCTCAGTTGCCTCCCTCTAGTTTCCTTGTTTAAACTTAGAAGGCACATAACATTATGGTCAAGTAATTAAGAGAAAAATCAGTAAAAAAATTAAAGTGAAATCTCATCTTCCAAGATAATGAGATTGGTGTATTTACAAGTATCTTAAATGTTAGTGGAGTAACTGTTGAAGCCATCATCTTAATTCTTCCAAGAGCAGTTAATTTGTTAATATATTCATATATCGTCTTAATTTATTACTGGAAATTTATCTATGTGCTGAATGGAATTCTTTTAGTTTTATAACATCAAGGAAACTTTTGTATTTATAATAACTAGTGTTTGTTCTAAAATTGCATGTGATGTATTGATAAGAATGGGTTTGAAACATAAAAAGTACATTTTAGATTGCCATTAAAATTTAATTATAAATATTGTCCTCAAATTGAATGGGAATGTTAATTGGTTTGGAGAATCTCCCATTTCCCTTCCTGGCAAGCACTCTCCCAACCAACCTCTTTACACCCAAGTATTGGCTTCAAGGTCGTGTACTTGAGTTGCCAATTGAAATTGTATTTCTCTCTCTCCTTTATTCTCAGTTCTTTTTCTTTATTATTCTTAATACAATTTATATTAGTCATATTTATATATGTGTTTATTTTTTTTAAAGATTTTATTTATCCATTTGAGGGAGAGGGAGCACGAATGTGGGAGAGGGGCAGTGCAAGAGGGAGAAGCAGATGGGAGCCTGATGTGGGGCTTGATCCCAGGACCCCAGGATCATGACCCCAAAGGCAGACACTTAACTGACTGAGCCACCCAGGTGACCCTATATGTGTATGTTTTAAATATCTCCTTTATTACCACACAGCAGGCTTCCTGGGGACACGGCTGACATGTGTTTAGTTCATCATTATAGAATGGCACAGACTGGACCTCTGTAAATATACATAGACCAATTAATTAAACACATTTCTGTAGCTCATTCACGGTG